TGGCCTTGGTGTTATCAGCACCGCACTCTCCCAAGTGAGCCACGGGCCGGCCCCTGAAAGTAGTTTTTTCATGCACTTTTCTTAATGTGAGATCAAGCATATATTTTCACGGCTAAAACTATTGCTGAAATTTTTGTGTGAACTGTGCCTTTTTCCATCTTTTTTTAGATCTTCTTTTCTTATCAATTTATAGGTGCTCTTAAGTAAAATTAGACCTTTGACTTTAATATGTGTTGAAGATATTTTTTCCCATTTATGCTTTGTCATTTGACTTTGCTTACAGTGGGTTTCTACCATAATAACATTCTAAAATTTGGTATATTTTATGTTTTTAGTCTTTTCTTTATGGCTTCTGAGTTTTGTGTCATGCCTTACACTCTAAGATTATTTTTTAAATGCCACAGTTTTTTTTTTTTCTAGTACTTAAAAAGTATTTAGTTACCTGATCTATTTGGAATTTATCTTGGTACGAGCTGTGAGATATTCAACTTTTTATCTTCCGCAGTTATCCTACATGATTTTTTTTTTGGCAGCTGGCCAGTATGGGGACCTGAACCCTTGACCTTGGTGTTATAACACCGCACTCTAACCCGCTGAGCTAACTGGCCAGACCCTACATGATATCTTGAATAATCCATCTTTAATTTGTTAATTTTTCCCCCTTTAATTTGAAAAACTGCCTTCATCACACAGTGAAATCCCAACATGTATTTGTTCTAATTCTGGANCAGCCCCTCAAAATTTATACCATGAAAATATTTCTCTCCATCCCTGTCCCCTGACTACTTGATTTCCTCCTAGAAAGCAACCGGTATTACTGATTTCTTGTTTATTTTTCCATAATCAAGCAATTATGTACAGACATTCTTTCTTCCCTCCTTTTCTTTTTACAGAAATGTTTAGCTTACTCTTCCCTCTCTTCTGCACCTTGCTTGCATCCTGGAAAGCATTCTGCATCAGCATAAAAAAAACCCCTCATTCCTTCTGTTTTGCGACTGCATGGCATTTCATTATCTGGATGGGCCACACTTGATTTAACCAGTTCACCCTAAATTTTTGTCATTGCAAACAATGCTGCGGTAAATAACCTCAAACAAACATTATTTCACACAGATGTAAATGTCTGTGGGATAATTTGTAGAAATGGAATTGCTGACCCAAATGAAATACACATTTACAGTGTTGATAGTTCCCCCCACACCTCGCCCTATGCATCTCTTTGTCTATATCCTTTGTAAAATCCTTTATAATAAACCGGTAAATGTAAATAAATAAATAAAATGCTAATAGATATTGCCAAATTGCCTCCAGAAAAGTGCCAACTTACATTCCTATCAGCAGTAGGAAGACCCTTTGTCTATACCTTTTGATATGAAAGTAGTTTTTTTAAAAAAAAAAGATGACCGGTAAGGGGATCTTAACCCTTGACTTGGTGTNGAAAAACTGCCTTCATCACACAGTGAAATCCCAACATGTATTTGTTCTAATTCTGGATTTCCAATTTGATGCCATTGATGTATCTATTCACATTCCAGTACCACTCTGTTTTTCATTACTATTACTTATTAAAATGTATAAATTCAGTAGTTTGTGTTTTCAAAATAAGCACAAAGCACATAATCAGTTAAACATATTTAAGCAACATTAGGGTAGTGTGTCCTAGAATTTTTTCCTCCAAACAGAGCTTGTTGTCAGGATTCATATCAGAGCTGTTACTCTGATCAATTCTCCTCCTCTGTTGCAGAGGTGATCCCCTCTGAATTTCACCGGAAGGTCTACAGGGTGCACCATGGATCTCCAAGGACAAGGGCCTTACCTGGTCCAGGGTCATATAACTTGGGTATGACAGGATGGTGAATGGTCACTGGAAACTTGGCCACTGAGGAACTGGACTCCAGACTCACTGGAGGGAGAAATAAGGTCACAGCCTGGGTAGCATCATATCTGGGTCTATCTAACTCTGTGCTGCCCCAGGGAAACCGACATGATAGGGGAGTGAAGGGTAGGAAAAGTCCTGGCTGGGAAGAGACTGAGGACCCTAGAGAGTCTGACATTCAGGCTCCTGACCTCCTGTGTGTCCCTGGGGCACCTGCCACGTGCCTCCTGAGCTCACACTTTTTCCCGTGAGAATGTGGTAGAGGGAGTGGGCTTGGAATCACATGATCTGGATGAAGCTTGACTGCCATTTACTATCTGAAACACTTTGGGTAAATCACTTCATCTTTTTCTCCATGTACAAAACCAGGATAATCATACCTGCCCTATTTTACCTCACAGGGCCATGCTATGAAGGGAAATGTTTGAAAATCTGAAGGTGGGGAGAACCATATTCTTCATGAGTGGTCATGAGTGATCTGTCCCATGGCAGATTTGCTTCAGTTGGTGTCCTGNCTGAGCTCACACTTTTTCCCGTGAGAATGTGGTAGAGGGAGTGGGCTTGGAATCACATGATCTGGATGAAGCTTGACTGCCATTTACTATCTGAAACACTTTGGGTAAATCACTTCATCTTTTTCTCCATGTACAAAACCAGGATAATCATACCTGCCCTATTTTACCTCACAGGGCCATGCTATGAAGGGAAATGTTTGAAAATCTGAAGGTGGGGAGAACCATATTCTTCATGAGTGGTCATGAGTGATCTGTCCCATGGCAGATTTGCTTCAGTTGGTGTCCTGTGTAGTCGGCCAAAAGAAAAAAGGGTGCTTTTTACTCATCCAGAAATAAACTAAGGCTGCCCTGACGGCAGCAGGAACTGTTCTCCCAGGAATTTCTGCAGTTGGGGGGATAGGGGGAGGGGAGACAAAGACACTGCCTTTGGAACTGGGATCCCCCCCATCCCCTCTTTCCTATTAGTGCCCAGGACAAGGTACTGATGTGGATCGCTCCTTCCGCTACCGCAGCTGAAGTCTTCGGCTTTAAGAGCTGCAGGGAATGGGTAACAGAACTGGATGGTTCTCCCCATGTGCAAGGTGCGCAGTATCGATGACCTGTCCTCTCCTCGAATCACTCTACGATGTCAATGGCAATGTTTGAGTGTAATAATTAGGAAGTTAAGTGTCTGGGGTTAGAAACAGGAGCAAGGGATAAATCTTAAAATTAGGTAGGCTTCCAGGAGGAGGAAGACTTATTGCCTTATGAGAGGGCTCAGTGGGATTTTCTGGCCTCCTAAGCATTTGCAGTCCAAGGACAGGTTCTCACCCATGTCCACCCCATGGTGCTGGTACACCGTGCTGGTGTATGTCACGTGTTGGAGGATGAAGTTCAAAAGCTTCCGGTCACTGGTCGAAATGGTCAGCTGCTTCTGGCCTCTGCCCTGCACCACATTGTCTGGGATGTCAGCGAGGGTGTTCAATGTCCCCAGAGAAGCTGTCAGGGTGACCTAGGGTGGGTGAGATAGAAGATGCAGTTGGTTGGAAAATGTTCGTCTTTGGGAAAGGCACATACCCAGGATGGCCAGCAGGGAGCAGAGCACACAAGGGGGACAGGAGAAGCATTAGGGACGCCTGGACAGTGCAGGTCTCCTCAGGGAGTCGCTGCTCTACCAACCTCTGCCCACCAAGCCCCAGGGCTTCGTGGCTTCAAGCGCCCGTTTTTCGAAACATTCCTCCCTTGGCTTGCAGGGTACCCCTCTTCCTGATTTCTTCTTACCCTGCCGGCTGCTTGTTTTTACTTCTCTTTGCCGGCTTCTCTTCCTCCTCTTCTCTCTGACCTCCAAAGGAGTTTTCCAGGGTTTGGTTCTGGGCCCTTTTCCCTTACTTTACACCTTCCCACTAAGAAATTTCATCTGTTCCCGTGGCTTTAAATACAGTCCATTTGCAGGTGATTTCAACAAACATGTATGTCTCCAGCTCATCTCTTTCTTTTCTTTTTTTTTTTTTTAATTTCAAAGAAAATTATTTATTGCAAGGATTTATTAAACATTTAGTACTACTGACATGCAAATACCAACTCCACAAAAAATTCTATTATACAAAGTAAGCTGAGCACCTGTGTTAATATGTGGCACTCATAATCTTTGTAACATTTTAACAAAAACTAACTTTTAATAGTATACAGAGGTAGAATAAAAGTATTAATGTCTACCTAGGTAAAATAATACACTTTATGTTTAAAAACAGTTTAACATTCAAAATTATTATTCCAACTTTGAACAAAGACAGTATATATAACTGGATGATTATCTGTACAAGGTTTTCATGTGATCACATTTAAGACAATCACCAAATAAAAAAATTTATTATTTAGCATAATACAAAATGATATTCTTTTATCATTCCCAGGCATGAGAATAATCAAGGTATATTTCTAATACATTTAAATTAGCTCTGAAAATAAACCACACATCCTCTTTTCTTCTTGTTTATGGTTGTTCTTATCTTACAGAAAAAAAAGTTTCATGTCACAATTAATGCTTAAAAGTACAGACTTTGAAGCCAGAGAAAATCTTGGTTCAAATTCCAGCTCTGCCACCTACTTGCTGTGAGATATTGGGCTAGTTTCTTAACCTTACTAAGCCTGTTTCTTCATATATAAAATGGAGAAAATGGGTGTTGCAATTATTGAGATAATATAGGTATTATGAGCTGAATTTTGTCTCCCCTCCCCAAATTCATAGGTTGACGCCCCAACTCCCAGTACTTCAGAATATGACTGTATTTGGAGATAGGTCCTTTAAAGAGGTAATTAAAATGGGGCTGTTAGTGTGGACCTTAGTCGAATCTGACTGGTGTCTTTATAAGAGGAAATTTGGACACAAAAATAGATACCAGGGATCTGTGCACACAGAGGAAAGACCATGTGAGGACACAGCAAGGAGGAGGCCATCTGCAAGTCAAGGAGAGAGGCCTCAGAAGAAACCAACCCTGTTGACACCTTGATCCTGGACTTCTAGCTCCAGAACTGTGAAAAAATAAATTTCTGTTCTTTAAGCCACCCAGTCTGTGGTACTTTGTTATGGCAGTCCTAAAAAATTAGTACAACATGTAAAGAATTGAGAACAGTGCCCGGAACATAGTAGATAATCAGTAACTAATATTATTAACTATTGCTCCAGAGCTCTTCTAATACTTGATTCCAAAAACTCCACATGGCCCTCCCCACCAAAAAGGAGGCTCGATGCCTTATTAAGATGCACATGATACCATCAGTGGCAGCTCCCAGATGCAAACGTGCAGAAACATAGGGACCAACACAACCTCGTTTTCAATCTGACTGATCACATGCTCCTGTAAATGTTTGGGTGGCCTCATGTACCAGAAACATAGGGACCAACACAACCTCGTTTTCAATCTGACTGATCACATGCTCCTGTAAATAAATGTTTGGGTGGCCTCATGTATAGCAATTGAGGCTGCAACTACTTGGTGATACTATCTGGGTGACTTAAAATCTGCATAACGGTGATTCAAATCAGGTTTGGCAATAAATCTGAATGACAGTAACCTGAACTCTTTGGGCTTATGTGCTTATATATGGGGGAGATGGGCCATGGAAGGTCTCTCCATTGCAAACAGGGGTTGCTTTATGGCCTATCTATTTGTCCCCATAATTATTGGCAATGACACCACAGATCAGCAGGTCAAAGCTCCCATGCATGGGTCAAAATGTATAATAAATTGGTCTTTGTCTATATTCTCACTGCCTAATAAAAATACTACTTACTGATAAAGATCAGTAAGTATGGAGTAAGTCTGCAAATACTTATTAAATCCCAGGTGGTGACTTACACTTGACTGAATTTATGACCATGGGTACAGGACTGAGGTCAATAATGCAGATTGGCTTTATCCTTCTGCTCAGAGTCTGTTGATAGTAGCCTTAATTAATCACTATATGAGACCAATTGAATGGATTTGGTATTGACTAAACAACCTGTTTGTCAAACTAATCAGAGTAGTCAATGGAGTGGTATCCTCACGTGAAAATTAGAGTTTGGCCAAGAACACATCAGGCTGAGGAGTGGATTGTTGGAAGAGGCTCTCCATAATGGGCCCTGAGCACCCCTGTATACTTACTGATCTTTACCCAGTCCATGTCCCAGGCTCGTGTTTATACTAAGGAACTTTGAAGCACATGGTAAAAACTTCCCTTGGACAAAGAGCAGGACTGTTTCTGCGTACTAGAAAAGCAGTGAATATCCCAAGCTCAGTGCTTCTCTCCTGCAGCACAATCCACATCCACTGTGTGCAGTTTCCCTCATTGGCTCTTTGTATTGCTCCTGTGGGACTTAGGAAAATGGGGTACTGACAAAAACCAATGAGAAGCTCTGGATACAGCTTTTGCTGTGCATAATAAAAGTCCTTTGTCTCTGACCCAGGTATCTTGTGTATTCTGTAGCATCCCATGAAACAGTAACAGGCTAACTTGTTAGCTTATAAGTAGTGTAAAATTTCAGATCCTGAACAGTCATTGACATCAATTATTTTTTTCTTGGTAACAGCTGGTATTTTAGGCATTATAACTTGGCTACTAGTAAATTTATTATTAGCATGATATATTCCAAAAGATTATTTTCCAAAGACTTAGCTAATAACACTACAAAAATAAAAAACCCTCTACTTCCTGTGAATTTATCTGTGTGTGTCCAAGCCCAGTAATAACTTCACTGTCTGTCTAAAGTACTAACAGTACTGAATCCAATGCTCGGTGCCACGCCTCTATCTTTGGTGTAACAATGTCATAAACTCTTGGAATCTGCTCCTGTTTAGTTGAAACGCCTGATTTAAAAATTCCATTATTGGGCCGGCCCGGTGGCACACTGCTACAGTGCACTGCTTGGGAGCAGGGCAGCGCTCCCGCCGAGGGTTCGGATCCCACGTACAGACCGGTTCCCGCTCACTGGCTGAGCGAGGTGCGGGAGCAACACCGAGGGTTGCGATCCCGTTGCCGGTCCTCGTCCGGTACGGGCACGACACTGAGGGTTGCGGTCCATTGCCGGACACGAAAAAGGTCTGTCTGAAGTACTAACAGTACTAAATCCAATGCTCGGCGCCACGCCTCTATCTTTGGTGTAACAATGTCATAAACTCTTGGAATCTGCTCCTGTTTAGTTGAAACGCCTGATTTAAAAATTCCATTATTGGGCCGGCCCGGTGGCACACTGCTACAGTGCACCGCTTGGGGGCAGGGCAGCGCTCCCGCCGAGGGTTCGGATCCCACATACAGACCGGTTCCCGCTCACTGGCTGAGCGAGGTGCGGGAGCAACACCGAGGGTTGCGATCCCGTTGCCGGTCCTGGTCCGGTACGGGCACGACACTGAGGGTTGCGGTCCATTGCCGGACACGAAAAAGGAAAAAAAAAAAAAATTCCATTATTTAATTTACTGTATTCATTCAAAATGTAAGATGAAGGAGAGCCAGAATCTGAGGCATTTTGTAGATGATGTTGAATGAATGTGCTTGCTTCAAATTCTGATGAGTAACTGGCAGTATTATAAATGAGTGTTGAAAGGTATTTGTGCCATCCATTTGCCAGACATTTAAGCACTGTTGGTCTGTATATTGCCAGTGATGAGCTCAACCAAGAGGAAGTATTATGAAGCCATTCTGAACAGGCATGGTTTTCTTTTCTCAGAGATTGCTCTGCAAGAATTTGAAGATGGCTAACACAAAAATTCCACTGCACCGCCTCCAAGAAAGACCTTTTCCTCTTTTAGAGCATAATACAAACAATAGGCACAAGTCCACAAACTATCTTCTTTGGTTTGCATCTGTGCAGTTACTGGGCTACTGAGCACTGCTGTAACCAAATTAATTCCTTCTGTTTTTAGCAAGATTGCCACTCCATTGTTCCTACCTACAATATCCAAGGGACTGCTTCTCCAGAAGGTCACATAGACCCCATTGCCCACACAATCTTCATTCACTTGTGTAATGTAGATCACATAGACCCCATTGCCCACACAATCTTCATTCACTTGTGTAATGTAGGTCACCTGTACTTCTCCTGCAGCCTCTGCAAAAGCCTGCATCACACTGCCATTCACTGACCCAATTATCAACAACTTACTGTGTATGCATTTTTTGATTAATTGTTCAGATACCTTTCCTTGTACCAGGATGAGGTTCACATTGAACTGGGTTAATACCTGTAATACATAATTTGTCCACAGTTCTTCTGAGCTGTCTTCTTGGAGCTTCATGCTATCTAATACTGTTTTAATATTTGCAGACTTATTAAATCCCAGGTGGCGATAATTCTCTGTGAGGTCACCCTCAGTGAGAACTACCCGGACAGGCTGATTCTGCAATTCCTTGATCAGAGTAGTACTAGATACTGCTACAACAGTGATGTATCCTGGACAAACACAAGAAAAAGTTTCAGGTACACCTGGCAGACAGCAAGTGAAGATTCTTGAAATGTCAAACATAAATGGCATTGCACAATTGCCTTGTTGCATACATGCATTCTGGTATTGCAGCCATACTGCTTCCTCTGCCAATTTCATGCTGCTGTGATCTCCGTGACTCAAGCCCACTGCCAACTCTATCAAATCATTACATCCATAAGTTTTGGAAGTAGCTGTAGCATGTTCTAGAAATCCATCTGGTTTGCTTACCCATTGATTATTATCTGTGCTGTTAAAATGCCTACTGTGAATCAGTATTGACTTTCTGCGGTGGTTGTCTGCAAGCCGACTGTTTTTCCGAGTTTGTGATGTGTTTTTATCTGTTTCAACTTCAGCCTGAGGTTTGAAGAATTGAGGTGATTTAACAGGTCTCCCAGAAAGACTGTAAATGGTCAATGATTGAGAAACATCTTTGAGATCATGCTCTTCCTGTGTCAAACCATTGTAGAAGAGGACACAAACTGACACTAAATGTTTCAAGTCCAGAAAATGTCTTCGTGTTGTCCAGATGGCCAAATATGTTGTGGATAGGCACTTGAAGGGAAACTGCCTCTTCACTGCAAGAGTTCAAGCCCTCTGACATCACTGGCACTATTACCGAAATGGGGACACCCAGATGAAGACATTCTTCAACAGCACTGCTCCATGCACCAACAAGAAGCAAGAGTACTGGTTCCAGTTCTGTATATGTTATATTGTGCTTGAATTGCTTCGCTGAGAAGCTGCCCCACTGCACTGGTTAAATCCAAACTTTCAAGAAGCCTTACTGTTGAACTGATTAACACACTTTCATGACATTCTTCATCTATAATAAATTTGGATGTTTATTGGACCTAGGAAAGTTCTTCCTGTTTCTGCAAATGATGGAAGTTGTTGAAGTCCTATGTGCCTCCTTTTGTTTATGACCCTGCAAGCCATCAGCATGAATCACCGTCTCACTCCTTTCTCCACTCCCACGGGGACCAGACTTCCCAGCGTCCTACCCACCAGGTGCGGTTCTGGCTGGGTCAGAGACACCAAAACGCCAGGGAGAAGGGGAGCGATCCTCTGGTGGCTAGGTCGCTAAGAAACCCAGCAGGAGAGCAGCTCATCTCTTTCTGAGATCCATCTGCACAGTTGGTTGCTCTGCTAGGAAATTTCACAAGCAACTCAAATTTAATATCTTCAAAACTGAACTCCTGATTTTTCTCCACAAACCTGTTTCCCACCCTCACTTCAGTTCTCCCTGCCTCGTGAATAGCACCTTTGCCCACTTCAAGCCCCCAAAGGGAGGTCATCCTTATCCTGCTCTTTTCCTCACACCTACAGCCCATCTGGTGGCAAGTCCTATGAGTTCTACCTTCAAAATGCAGCTAGAATTGGTCCACTTCTCCCAATCCCCATTGCTACCCTCTAAGGCTACTCTCTTGTCTTCTACAACCACCAATCAGGCACCTTTATGAAAAGTAAACTGGTGTATTAGTCCATTTTTGTTGCTTATAACAAAGTACACTGAACTGGGTGATTTATAAAGAAAATGAAATTTATTGCTTACAGTTTCTGAGGCTGGGAAGTCCAAAGTCCATCTGAGGGTGGCGACATTGCAAGATGGTGGAAGCAGAGAGAGAGAGAGAGACAGACTCTCCTCTTCTTTTACAGCCCTCAGACCTATGCCCTTAACCACCATTTTTAATCCATTCACTACTGCAGGGTCCTACAATCCAATCACCTCTTCAAGGCTCCACCTTTCAATGACCATAATAAGATTTCCCACCCTCTTAACAGTCACAGTGGGGCCAAGTTTCTAATACACAAAACCTGGGAGACAATTCAAGCCTCAATGAGTTTTGGGGGGACATGATTCAATCCATTACAACTGGATTATGTCACTCCTCCTGAAAACACTAGTCCTTCAACAGGTATTTTCCCTTTTGGAGGCTGGCATGTATGGAGATCTGAGCCTTTGACCTTGGTGTTATAAGGTCAACCACCTGAGCTAACTGGCCAACCTAGTCAACAAATTTTTCTTTTCTTTTTTTTTTTTTTTGTCTTTTTTCGTGACCGGCAATGGATCGCAACCCTCACTGTCGCGCCCGTACCGGACCAGGACCGGCAATGGGATTGCAACCCTCGGTGTTGCCCCCGCTCCTCGCTCAGCCAGTGAGCG